CGCGTTGGCCTGCGACCGACAGAAGTGGAAGGACTTTGTTGCTGCCCTATGCGCCATTGGCGTAACGGGCAGTAAGTAAGTAAGTAAGCTAATTTAAAAAAATAACTGTGATGGCCAAGTGTTTTGCTGTTGGTTTCATTGAGAGTAGGATAAGGCTTCTGAGTAGTACCTGTGGGTAAATGCTGACTTTTTTTATGGTGACTACTATAGGTTAAGTCAAATTAAGATCTACACGAGAAAGAGAGGGAGAGAGCACATGCTTTGCTGAATTTTACATAGGTTTAGAGTCTATTTATACAGTCCACACTTTATAATTTTTGGTGAGCTTTGTTATTCTGCCTCCCAGCCCTTTGTGAACTTTCCACAATATGTCTGTTAGTTTCACTTACACCATTGTAGATAATTGTTGAGTCAGACTTCCCAGATATATTTCATTGATGTTTTCTAAGGTATGTAGTCTAGAATTTCACTCTACTGTGCCACTGCAGTCTAACCACCAACACTAGGTGTCAGTATAGGGCCATGCATTATATTAATTGCTATAATGCAGTAATTAGGCAAACGTTTTTAAGATTGTTTTCCTTTTAATGCCTTTGCACCATTTTCTTATTCTTCTCTTGCCATCCCCAGTCTTCTTTATTTTCAGTATTCAGTAATGTTGCAAACTGGCACCCATTATGTTTTTCTATGTCGGATAAGTTGTCAAAGGCAACAGCCAAGTTACCAGGGATCAGACTTTCCTTTCACTTAAACTGTACTTTATTACATAAAACTTTCAGTAGAGGAATTAAGTAGACACAAAGACTCCCACAGAAACATATTTCCTGAAAACTATAGAAATGAATTATTCCTTTTTTTTTGATTTGGTGTAATAATCTGTTATCTTTTATCATGCATGTTAAAAATGATTTTATGCATGAGTGGAAAGGATAGATGATTTATTAAGGGAGCTCCATTCATCTTACAGAGTAGGCTTTAGTCTGAAATTGACATGTTTTTAAAAAGAAATACAATATTTCAGATCACAGTTGGGAAAATATCTTCCAGGTTGCAGCTCTATTAATGGTACTCTTTTAAGAAAACATCCACAAAAGACCACTTAGTGCTGCTTTATTTGGCTACTACATAAAAGATTACTCTAATGAATGATTCAACCAAGATCATTCTGTAGCTCCTGTTTCAGCCTTTGTATTGATTTCCATTATTCAACTGTAATTATGGTACAGAGCATTATAAAACAGGATTTGATTTTGAAACATTGCCTGGAACTGTCTACCCCTCAAAGTTTGAAAAAGCAAGAGTCAGTTTAATTATATCAATCTGTCATCAAACTTTTCTGTAGATGGTTTTGTAGATTTTTTAAATTCATTAAGATATGACTATATTGTGACACCTATGGTTCTGCTCTAATTAACTCCCTTTTCAGTAATGATAAATCACCATTCAGTGCAATGGTGAGGATATTTCTAAATTGTTAGAACTGAGTAATTTGAATGCTGCTGCCAAGATATAGCCACACATATTAATGGAAAGCTGATTAATGATGCTTGCTTTGAATAGAAGTCGTGAGAGTAGAAGCGCAAACCTCTGTGAGTTAATGAGATAGCCTATCTTATTTCATGAAAGTCTTACAATGCCAAAGGCAGAGGTTTTCTCAAGGAACTGGTTAAGCTGAAACAATGTCTTACTCTTAAAGAACAGGTCACTCTAAGATGCTAAAACTTAATCCAGCTGCTTTTCTTTTCCTTTCTTAATATTGGGTAGATTTCAGAGCAACCAGAGTATGTATGAACTGGAAGCTAAAGTGGAAAGGTTGGGTAGTTGTTATGACTCACTCAACCTATACACTTAATTTGTCTGTGTGGGTGGCTGGAAATACATGATCTTCACCCCTACTGCTATGAAATACAGCAGCTGAACTCAGAAAAAGAAACTGCTTTTCATTATTCTGTATATTTGACATAGGATGATAAGTGGGGCTTGGTTTTTTTGGTAAAAGTGGTTTGAATTTTTCCAGTCCATCTAAACCAGGGTGGGCAAATATCATCCTGTGGGCCAGATCCAGTTCCCCAGGGTTAGCCACTAGTGGGTGGGCCACTGCTGCTATATTTACCTGTACCTTCACAGGTAGAGGCGATTGCAGCTCCGGTTGGCTGCAGATCGCTGTTCCTGATCAATGGGAGCTGCAGGAAGCAGAGTGCTTCCTGGTTCATAGCCGCTTCCCACATCTCCCATTTGCTGGGAATGGCAATCTGCGGCCAATGGAAGCTTCAATCATCAATGGGAAAACACAACAATGCTAGGGTTCTAGAGTACGGACTAGCTCGGATTCCAAAACTCATTCATGAGAGCTCTGAATTGCTGAGAGTGAACAAAGAAGAATAACTACAAATAACAATGCTGGTAATGGATGTTGTATCTAATGAATTTTACAAAATATCACTTTATATAGCAGAATTCTTTTTTCTCACTTGACTATTCGATGCAGGAAATGTTTATATTTATTCACTAAAATGTATGAGAACCCATTTAAAGCATCAGTATGCCTTTCATCATTACATATGATCATTTCTAAAACAGCAAAATATATCTGTAATATTAAAGGCTTTATAACTCCATTCCATCTTATACACATGCAGATTTCCTATCCTAACAAAGGAATTGATCTACAAGACATTCAAAAGCCTTTCCAATCACATCCACTGGGGGCATGCCGAGTGTGAGTCCTGGCAGACTGCTGGAGGGAGCAGAGGCTTAGGTCCTACTCCCTGGATAATATTGTGCCACCCGCCTTGGAGAAGTCCTCCCAGCTAGGCAGTGAATGTGATCCAGTGGTCCTTCACTGCTTCAATGGGACATAGAATCAGAAATGAATTGGCAACCCAGCCACTTGGGAGTTTGATAACCAGCATTTTGAATTGCACGTGGACATGAACAAGTACCAAGAGCATACCCCAGAACACTTGTATTTTAGAATTATAGTGAATGTCCCCATTGAAGTGTTTAGATACTGTTAATGAATAGTCTGCAAAGAGGGTGTTTTGCAGTCATCTGGTCTTGAGGATATAAAATCCTAGATTACTGTAGTCAGGTCAATATTAGAAGGTATGGATGAAGCCCCTCTAGCAATGATACATTAAAAAAGACACTCTGCCACAATCTGATACCTGAAGTTTCACTCTGATCTGCTGGAGTCAAGCAGAACTGACATAGGTTGTATACACCCTAGAACAGAAGGTACATTCACAGCTCTCGCACAGTATCTTACACATATGTTCTCTGAATCATCCAGAGTGAGCCTAAGCTAGTTCAGACTCATCCATCAAGTATCACTCATGGAGGAAGAACAAAATACAGTGAAGAACCTTCCCATCTATTTCTGCCAAATTCTGCAAGTCTATCAACAAAGGCTCAAAGACTGTTGCATAACTCTAAAAACATCAGCAGTCACATTTTGCCTCTGTCCATTGCCATGTGGGTATAGGAAACATTATACAGCTTCAGTTCCATTTTAAACCTACACCTTAAACCAGGGTAATGGCTGTTAAGGGCACATGAAGATTCAACTGTAATTGTTTCACTATCCTCTCTGTAATCTTTCCCCATAATGTGAGGCATAATCTTTCCTCATAATGTGAAAGAAATTGACCCGGTTGTGGATATCAAATGATGGCTTCATCAGCTGGCACTCTCAAAAAAGAAGTGCTAAAACCCTGGTCACCAATGGTAGCAAAATATCAATACTGATGCATTCCTGAGGAGCAAGAAGCCAGTCCTTAGTGACATTAATTTCACAGGACATCTGATTAAAAAAGATGGCACCTCTAACATGCGAGTTCCCTTTTTCATATAACCTCTGACCATGCTATTTTTAAAATCAAACTAAATTTACTACATTATTTTCTTCAGCAGAAAACTGAACAGGCAGAGACAAAGACCAACACAAATTCTACTACTTTGGCTGCATATTTCTACCTCAGTATGGTACACAATAGTTATATTGAAAGATTTCATTGCCACTTTGGATGGAATCAGAGCAATTCTTATGATATTTTCTTAAAAAAATAAAAGTTATATATTTTTTCTACTCCTGGGCGATTTACATGTAATAGCTGCAAAAAGGAAGAAAAAATATCATGTCTTATTTTTTTTTCTCTGTTTCCTAGGCTCATAATAAAACTGACTATGTTTCTAGCATTATCTATTGACTGAGTGGGCTTTTATCTATTCATTTTTTTACCCCATATATCCTCTCTAGGATATTTGAGGCCTACATCATGAGGAATAAAATGAGGAATTGGGAAAAATAGCTATTTTTCTGTAACTGTTGTTCTTTGAGATGTCTTGCACATGTGCCTTCCTCTGTATTTGAATACATTCCAAGGGAACAGTTGTTGGAGATTTTTTTCCCCCTCAGTAGTACCCACTGGAGTGCCATTAGCACTTTCTGCTGCCCTGAACCACTTCACGTATAAATGGTGGAGCCACTCCCAACCTTCTTCAGTTCTTTCTTTTTAGATAGATTCAGTTAGAGAGGGTAAGGAGGAAAGGTGAGGGAATGGACATGTGCAACACCCCTCAAAGAATAAGTTACTGAAAAGCAGGTAACTAACTCTTCTTTCTCAAATGATTGCACATGTCCATGCCACTGTAGGTGACTCAGAAATAGATCAATCTGGATCCTGTGCCTATTTAAACAGCGATTGGAGAATATCACCCCCGAAACTGGCATTGTCCCTTGATTGATGTAGGATAGTGGAAAGAGAAGCAAATCTGTGCTCTGACAACCAAACTGGTGCTTCACAAATGTACAGACTAGGAATTTTTGTGCAAGGGAAGCTGCAGATGCTGATTGTATACAAGCTGAATGTTGAACGGGCTAGCAATATAGCTGATGAAGAGACATCACCCAACTGGTAACACCAACTAATGCAAAAAGAGATCCAGAAAAAAATCCTCTGAGAGTATTCCAGGTAACTTTTTATTCTCTCTCTCAACAGAATGCACAATTATGATGAAGACCTAAATGATTTTAACCTGTTCTGGCATCTAAAGAGTGGAGTGATATCGCTTTGATATCACTCAAAACCATTGAAAGTGAAAGTTGAAAACCATTTTGGTCCTGAACTTTGGGTGAGTCAAAGGTAGGTCTTTTCTTTATAGAAGACCATATATCGAAACTATCTTATCAAAGTTTTAAATTATCCATTCTCCTCACCTAGATAATTGTAATAAAAATGCCACCTTTGCAAAGAGGTGGAGTAAAGAATAAGTTGCGAGTTGGTAAGAGGGAGACCCAATTAACTTTGCTAATATCACGTTGAGATCCCATGGAAGTAAAGGTTCTTGCATCTCTGAGTATATTCTGTTCAGCACCTTTAAAAAACTGATGGCAATGGCATTTCAATAAAAGAGATCTGCTATTGACTAATGAATGGCAAATGAAGAGAGCTGCCAAATGAACCCTAATACAATCAATTGCTATACCTAGATGTTTTCAGTAAAGAAGATAGTTCAACATATGAAAGACGGGAGATTTGCTGGAAGAACACCTTTTTGCCAGGACCATAAGAACACAAGAACGGCCACACTAGTTCAGACCAATGGTCCATCCAGCCCAGTATCCTGTCTGCTGACAGTGGCCAATACCAGATGCCCCACAAGGAGGGAACACAACAGGTAATACTCATATGAGCCCTCCCTTGTCACCCACCTCCAGAGAAACAGAGACTAGGGACACCATTCCTACCCATCCTGGCTAATAGTCATTGATGGACCTAATCTCCATGAATCTATCTAGCCCTGTTAAGGTCCTAGCCTTCACCACATCCTCAGGCAAGGAGATCCAGAGGTTGCGCTGAGTGAAGAAAATCTTCCTTTTGTTTGTGTTAAATCTGCTGCCTATTAATTTCATTTGGTGACCCCTAGTTCCTATCTTGTGGGAATAAGTAAATAACTTCTCCTTATTTACTTTTTCCATACCAGTCATGATTTCATATACAGGCAGTCCCCGAGTTACGCGGATCCGACTTATGTTGGATCCGCACTTACGAACGGGGCCCTCTCCCTGGTCACCAGCAGACCAGGGAGAGGAAGCAAAGCGGCGGAACACACAGGCAGCCCAGACACGGCTGGGCTGTCCGCTGCCCACGTGCTCCGGGGCTTTGCTCTGCTTTGCTCTGCTTTGCTCCCCGTCCTCCTGGTCTGCAGACCATGGGGACGGGGAGCAAAGCAGAGCAAAGCCCCGCTGCCCCCATGTTCCGCCGCTTTGCTCCCCGTCCCCCTCGTCTGC